AGCTAATCTCGTTATTCGCTTTTGAGATACCGTGTAGGCAACAGGTGCATACGGCTGTCTACTTGTTCTCCCCAGTTGGTGGTTTTATGCATGAACTTCTGGGTCACTGACCTGGCCGTTTAGGTTGGAAATACCGAGATATTCTCCACAGTACTTGAAAGTGTTATGTTACAGTGTCAGTGAAGGGAGAAGTGAATATTTGTGTGAGAGAGAATTTGTATATGAAATTTCACGTACGGGTTGATATTTAAAAAATAGACGTTAGAATGATGTAGTGTGATTCCTACTTAAAATTAAATTATATGAAATTTTCGTTTTTAACTTACATTTAAACACCTTTTTTTCACGTTTTAATGTCAAATTGTATGCCTTATTTTTATTTTTTGGAGTGATTAACTCCAGTGTGATGATAATTTAGTATTTCAATGAAAATCTTATAATGTACGCTTTCCAGTTTCAGTGTTAGTCACGGATACATATAAATATAGTTAATCTTCGTACCAAAACCGTAAAAGCAACATTTGTAACAAGTATGACTTTACTTTCAGCTTCAAACAAGCAAGAGAAAGAACGGAGTACCACTTCTTCCTATTCAGCGTAAGTATGATTTATCAATATTAGACTTTTTTTTGATGCGTTAAGTAGATTTATGTGAAATAAGGTAAAGCTCACTTTATAATAAAATGGCCACAAATTTTTATTCACAATAGAAGAAGAAGAAAAACTTCATGAGGACAGGGAATTTGCCGATATTTGTCTTTAAAATGGATACCAGTTTTAAGTTCAGAATCGGAACGTAAGATTGTTTGATAAATAAATTAGCAAAATAGAAAAGATCTGAAGTAGTTGAATGTTTATATATATCATTAAAACAAATAGTTTCGACAAGGTTTAAGATGTACCATTGTGTATGCATTTACACCGAATCATTTTACTTGTCCGAAACTCAGTTTGTATTTCTTTTCTGTCATAAAGCACCAGTAGGAATGTACCGACTGTATGTAGAGAGAGCTAGCACCCATAATAATTTCCCATCTTTGTCGTTATTTCTGATTCAGATCGAAGAACGATTACACGTATTTGTAGTACTAGTAATAAATAATTGTAGATCTTCTTTGTCGTTATTTTGGATCCAGATCGAAGAACGACTACACGTATTTCTAGTACCAGTAATAATCGTCAGATCGAAGAACGATTACACGTATTTCTTGTACCAGTAATAGTCGTCCATCTTCTTTGTTGTAATCTCTGATTCAGATCAAAGAACGACTACACGTATTTCTAGTACCAGTAATAATTGTCGATCTTCTTTGTCGTTATGTTTTATTCAGGTCGTAGAATGACTACACGTATTTCTAGTACCAGTAATAATATTTGATCTTTGTCGTTATGTTTTATTCAGATCGTAGAACGACTACACGTATTTCTAATACCAGTAATAATATTTGATCTTTGTCGTTATGTTTTATTCAGGTCGTAGAATGACTACACGTATTTCTAGTACCAGTAATAATACTTGATCTTTGTCGTTATGTTTTATTCAGATCGTAGAACGACTACACGTATTTCTAATACCAGTAATAATTGTCGATCTTCGTCGTAAATCTTGATTCCAACTTTTATTGATAACTGTGCATATTTCATTTAAAAATGTTTAATATGTGGAGTTTATTGCAAAAGTAAGATCATCAACATAAGATAATCTAACGAACTTAATGTACTTGCATAAGAACTACAACCAAGAAAACGCCATAAAAATGCCTGTGGTATTTAGTACAGTGAATTTGGATTCCAAAGGTTAGTGCTTTCATGTGTGTAATAATGTCTACCAGAATAGCTGGTAAAAACTTCAACGTTCACTCCACGTGTCACTGAATGTTTCTTCAGGAATTGCCAACCACAAAGCTTAGTTTCAAATAAAACTTGACATCACTAATAGTGTTGGTGAAGAGAGACTTTCAGCAGAAAAGGTTTTCGGTCTTGTCTTCGCGGTACAACGTTTTCATGAAATGTGGACATCAGACAGCTGTTTCACAAACAC